ATATTCGTTTCTTTTAAAACATTACCGATATAGTATTATTAATTAATACACCATACGGTACGTCTTCCAAATTTAGATGTACTTAATAATTATAATAAGATAATACTGAAGTTCATGTAACACTAAATACCAAGTCAAAACAATAATCACATTATAACTTTTACAAGTTTTATGATTTATAAATCCGTTCAAAATAGCTTGATTTCGACGTGTAACATTTACCTATATATAAGAATATCATGTCTCATTCAACCATTTAATGATATTATTGTGTAATCTACGTTAGTACTAATCTTTAAAAAAAAATGCAAAAGTCCATACCAAAACTGGCAAGAATCCAACAGCTTTATACGATTTTTCATAATATTATGAAGATTGTCTTCTGTGAAGTGTTTTGAGCATAGTACACTATTTTTGGTGGGAAACCATTCGTCCCCTCGACAATTTGCGTCGATCCACATCTTTTTTCCTTTCGGGGCATTTAGGAAACCTATAACATATAGGTACCACAATGATACGTCACTATTTTTATAAAATAATATGACTTCGAAAAAATAATTAAACGATGACCAAACAAATATCGACTTAAAAACCACAACACTATCGATACACGTGCTGTTGTTAGACAAAGACAACTATTGTAATTTACGTAACGAGTGAAAGGGACATTTCAAAAAGACATCAACGGGTGCTTAATTGTTATCACTTTGCACCATTAATATACCAGTATAAGTTGATCTCAGGTGCATTTTCCTTGCTACAACAGGTCCCATCCGCAGAGATCGTGATCCTTGGCGATTTTAACGCCCACCATGCCGAATGGCTCGGTTCACGTTTAACCGATCATGCGGGGAGATCTGTTTATGACTTTGCCTTGGCATATGGTCTGACACAACTGGTTACTTCGCCTACGCGGATTCCAGATGTGGAGGATCATACACCTTCCCTGTTGGACCTTCTGCTGACCTCTCATCCGGACGGATATCAGGTTTCCGTCGATGCCCCTCTCGGCTCTTCGGACCATTGTCTGATCCGGAGTATGGTGCCACTCACGCTCCCTTCGCGGTTGCGTTCTGCAGGTTGCCGCCGTGTTTGGCATTACAGGTCGGCGGATTGGGACGGAATGCGGTCTTTCTTTGCATCCTACCCATGGGGGCGGGTTTGCTTCTCGCCGGATGATCCCAGTGCTGTTGCTGACTCTGTCACTGATGTGGTGCTACAGGGAATGGAACTATTTATTCCATCATCTGTGGTACCCATCGGAGGCAGATCTCAGCCTTGGTTTGGTCGCTCCTGTAAGACTGCATTGCGCAGTAAGCAGGAGTGTTATCAAGCCTGGGCTGCAGCTTCGGTGACTCGGGATGTAAACACCAGCACACTTAAAAAGAAGTATAACTTCGCCTCCAGGTCCTTCAAAAGAGTTATTGCCAAGGCAAAGTCAGAGCACATAGGCAGAATTGGCGAGAGACTAGTTCGCCTTCCTTCGGGAACCCGTGCATTCTGGTCTCTCGCCAAGGCTGTCCAAGGGAATTTCTGTAAGCCATCACTACCATCTCTGCACAGGGAGGATGACTCACTGGCCCATGACGCAAAAGACAAAGCCGACCTTTTAGGCTCCCTTTTTGCGTCCAACTCGACTCTTGATGACGGGGGGAAAACACCGCCGACCATCCCGCGGTGTGAGTGCTCCATGCCGGATGTGCTGTTCTCACAGCGCTCGGTTCGCAAAGCACTGCTCTCCCTGGACATCCAGAAGTCGAGTGGGCCTGACGGAATCCCCCCAATTGTGCTGAGGACGTGTGCTCCGGAGTTGGCACCGGTCCTAACGCGTCTTTTCCGGTACTCCTACTCCCAAGGCGTAGTCCCGAATTCATGGAAGACAGCTTTTGTCCACCCGATCCCTAAAAAAGGCGACCGCTCAGACCCGTCCAACTATAGGCCTATCGCGATCACCTCCTTGTTCTCCAAAATAATGGAATCCATTATTAACTGCCAGCTCATCCGGTACCTTGAGGATCACCAGCTGATTAGTGACCGCCAATACGGTTTTCGTCGGTGTCGATCAGCTGGTGATCTTCTTGTCTACCTGACCCATAGATGGGCGGAGGCAGTAGAGTCCAAGGGGGAGGCGTTGGCCGTTAGTCTGGACATTGCGAAGGCCTTTGATCGGGTTTGGCACAAAGCGCTTCTTTTAAAGCTGCCTTCCTATGGGCTTCCCGAGAAATTGTGCAATTGGATCACCAGCTTTCTTGCAGATCGGAGCATCAAGGTCGTTGTAGACGGTGCATGTTCTGACTACAAGCCTATTAACGCTGGTGTTCCACAAGGCTGTGTGCTATCACCAACGCTGTTTCTTCTGCATATCAATGATATGTTGCTAACTGGTAACATTCATTGCTATGCGGATGACAGCACTGGTGATGCTCTATACACCGGCCGGGCCAATATTTCTCGGGAAAACGTCGCCGAGTACCGGAACAAACTTGTAGTCTGAAGTCGAGTCTTTGCTGGACAAAGTCTCTGATTGGGGGCGACTAAATCTAGTCCAGTTTAATCCTCAGAAGACACAAGTTTGCGCGTTTACCGCTAAAAAGAACCCCTTTGTCGTATCTCCTCAGTTTCAAGGCACTCCCCTTCTTGCCTCAGCCAGTATCGGTATCCTCGGAGTCGACATATCGAGTGACGTGCAGTTTCGTGGTCACTTGGAAGAGAAGGCCAAATTGGCCTCTAAAAAGCTTGGCGTGCTCAGCAGAGCGGGACATATTTCATGCCGGCACACCGCCTGCAACTTTACAAGGCGCAGGTTCGGCCTCACATGGAATACTGTTCCCATCTCTGGGCAGGGGCTCCCCAGTGCCAGCTCCTTCCACTTGACCGCATCCAGCGCAGAGCGGCTCGAATCGTCGACGACCGAGCCCTTTCCGATCGGCTCGATTCATTGGCACTGCGAAGAGATGTTGCATCTCTTTGCATTTTCTTTCGCATCTACCATGGGGAGTGCTCTGAGGAATTGTTCGGATTAATCCCAGCCGCCAAATTTCACGAACGCACATCGCGGCAGAACTCCCGATACCATCCACACCATCTGGATGATTGGCGGTCCACCACTGTGCGATTTAGAAGATGTTTTCTTCCTCGCACAACTTCCTTGTGGAATAGTTTACCACCAGGGATTTTTCCGGACCGATACGACTTAGGGACCTTCAAGAAAAGAGCCTACTCCTTTTTAAAAGGCCGGCAACGCATCTGCAATTCCCCTGGTGTTGCGGTTGTTCATGGGCGGCGGTAGTCACTTACCATCAGGTGAGCCGCATGCTCGTTTGCCCCCTCTCATATAAAAAAAAAAAAAAAAAAATTTGAAATAGGTTAACGTGATAAGAATAGAATTTACTTACCAATTAAAATTTATGCCATCTTTTTGATAACTGGATGTCTTAGCTGACTTGTCACACCATTTTACTGCACAGGAAGCCATTTGTAATGTATTTTGGATACAAAACTATTATTAAATTGTCAAGAACTCGGACGTGCCTACGGATCACAAACTTGGTCGATACTGATGTCGTGATTCTTAGCTTCGCTTCGTATGCTAGCTACAGCAAGTATGTGTTGCGCGCGTTTGTGGCCCTGTATGCGGAATCTATTAGGAGGTAATCTATGTTATACCCTCATTCCCAACAGTAAGAACATTAGTACCTAACGCAAAATAATAAAACAAAATCTCATTACTTTTCACTATCTTAACCTTTGAATTCGTGCCATCTATATATGTATGCATTCGTATTTTATGTCTGTATTTGTTATTTATTTCTATATATTATAATTAAATCTTTATAAATATTGTTTCTGCATGACCAAACCACACAATTTTCTGCTTTTTGTAATCCTGTCCATCCAAAGGTATACTGGAAGAAATCGCTTTTAGCGACAAGACCGCCCATTGTGTCACTATTTTCATTTTCTTTTTCTTTCGTTTATGTATTGATTTGGTGTACAACAAAGAATTATCTATCTATATATCTATCTACCTTTAACTTTTTCCGTTCTTATCTCATCAGCACTTGGGATTTTTGTATTTTACCTGGAGTTGAACTATAAACTAGTAAGTACACAAATCTTGTTATTTATGTGTGTAACATTCGATTATCATATACAATTATTTTTATGAAACTTAAGTAACTAACGAACTTACAGACCTCATGAGATGGTAAGTGGCTACTGCAGCCCATGGATTGGAGATTATAGATTATTTATATTTAACCGGACCTGCAGCCATCTTCAAACAAAGAAGACTACCAGTGCGTTGTCACCTCTTAGGACTTAAATGGAATGCCTCGCGGTCTGTTATACTAACTCTCTACACCCCTCAAACCGCAATACATCATTGTAGACATGTGTCAATCGTGAATGATTCATTCATTTGACCCGGGTCATCACCAAAGTATTAATGATTGCAATTGCATTTTTAATATTTCGGATCAAACGATTGACAGGACCTACGACCAACATTATCGAACGGGTCCTCACAAACCACAGTGCTGAAACCCAAAATGATCCATTTGAATGATCCCGTTCGTAAGACGAATCAATACTTGAATAGATCGGGTCACTAGAAATGAATGAATGACACATGTCTACAGCAGTGATATCACTACACCGTTTAGGCTTCAAACAAGTCCTACCACCTAGACAATTAAATTTTGTTTAAAGATTAAACTTTATCTTGAACTATTTTAACCGCTTATTCCCATTTGATAAACTGATTAGTTTAATTGATAAAATAGTGTAGCTGTTTCCCAGTATTATAATTGAATATAAAGTTTATTTACTATCCTGTAGGGTTTATTTATAGGATATTAAAGAAAAATGTAGTCACACACCACACAGCTATTCACACGTGTTCTAATAATTTGTCTAAATAAAAACACATTTCAAATACATAATACAATATGTATATTTAAAAATTCAACCGTCAACAATGGTACAAAAAAATATTATAACTATAAAAATTTCACCCCGCCGATTATATTCACCGGCCTTCCTTTGTATTTCTTCGAAATGTCGCTCTCGATCTATAAACAAAGAAATAAGCATTAAAGTAAACTCTAAAGGAAGAAAAATAAAATTCAAACTTTAAATAACAAATAAAAACGACTTAAAACTAAAGATATTAAAATAATTTGCACATTACAGTTTCTGAAGTTGGTGGTAAGACGTTGTGTATGGAAGAATTAACGCCCCGATTTCAGTAGCTATACTGTAGAAATTACTTTATACTCAGTTTTCGAAGTTTAATTTTTGACCCTTTTAAGTGAATCAAGCAATATCAAAAGCTCCCGCTAACGACTAGACTACCATCTAAATCTGTGATTCAGAACCAGTGGGCCGCGGACCACCAGTGGTCCGCAAGAGCTTAAATACGGTCCGCGAAAGGTTTAAATATATATAATACCTACCTAATTTTTTTAAATAACATATTTATTGCAGTGCAACACCGCGCGTCAAGTTAGTAAGTACCTACTAGTTTTTACAATAAATACACAAATAATACTGTTAATAAATGCTTGTTTTCAGTTTGTTATATAATTATGTCAAAAGTTATGATTTTAATTTATTGTTAGATTAACACAGTTTTTTCTTTCACCTTGTGGTCCCTGCTAACTACAAAAAAATCAAAGTAGTCCCGGGTAAAAAAAAGGTTGGGAAACCCTGATCTAAATAGTTAAGTACATTACATTAAGAACTTGAACCTATCCTAATGTTAGGGATATGAGGCGCAGGCTAACGGCATAACGTGTTTTTCGAGGCACGGAGGTGAAACAGCGACAATTTTATGACTCCGGGTTGCTACTGAGTTTATTGACAGAAAAAACAAATACATAAACTATTTTTGACCTGACCCGGGATTCGAATAATATTTCTTCACATCGTCACAATAATACAGTCGAATTTACACCTCATCCTTTTAGGAGTCGGCTAATAATAATACAAAGGTTTTATAAGACGTAAGAGAATCCACCACCTCATTTCATCAAGGCGATAAGAAACAACGTTGAAGAATACTCAGACCCACGATGAGGAGCAGGGCCAAAGATACGAGACATCTACTTCTATCAACAAGCGTGACGATTGTTAGAAGTTGCATGTTTTTTAATTTTATTTTATTTTTTGTAAGTTTACAAAAATTATTATAAAAAATTAAAAAAAATTAACAATTGATTTTTCATGTAATTTTATTATTAAAAATTTTGGTTTTTCGAAAATGTGAATTCAAACATTCAAACGCCAGTGACGTCATTATATCGCTTTAGTTACGCCACCGCATGATGAAATGATAAAACTCATGTTTACGTTGTCAAAATTAAAATAATTGTCATTGCATAATACAGTTCTAACTCCTTTTCCACCGAAAAGTTTAAAGACAAGGTGCGACAGACCAAGGACCGGACATTGGCAGAATTATTGTGACATAATCACAATACCAAGGGCCAAATAGACCAAATAATAATAATAATAATACAGTTTATATACCTATGTTTTATTTTGACACATGGTGATCCGAATATAGAATATATAAAAGTATAGTATGATTGCGATTGGCTCACAACCTCGACAGATGTAATGACGTCACAACCAATCACGAGTCGTTTTTTTGTGATTCAAATATTAATAATTACAAAAAAATGGTATTGTTAAAAAAAATTCAATATACTTTAAATTAATTATTCTTTCATTTATATATAAATGTGTGACAAAAAAAAATTTAATGCTACTTCTCTATTTGACGGTAGACGGGTTGGTACAGAAATAGAAAAGAACAAAGTTATATAAAGCCCTAAATATATAGTATTTCAGTTACAAACGAACCAACAGTCACAACAGACCAACTTTAGAACAAAGAAGGTCACAAGTGCGTCACCCCTCTAAATTACTGGCTTTCTATAGGGCGGTATCGACTACCTTGGCAAGCGAGCTTTGCTCGCGAGATGTAGCTACCTATGTGCCACAGTCTCTACTTACCATCAGGTGGTCTGTGAGCTTGTTTATTACCCTTATACTATAAAAAAGATACATCTCAACGTTCAGTCACATGACATTCATTTGACTTATCGTTGATTTCATTCACTTTCATAGTTATCTATTAACGTTAACAATTGTAGAATGTCAACTTGGCTAGACCCGCCAGCACCGCTTCCGTGATGCTTGTTATCATAACGCCATTAGCAAACCTTATGCGCGTGGATTATCCATATATATTAACGTGAAAGCTCCAGGGTGGCCCGCGAAATTCAAATTTTCTTACGTATTTTGGACTTTGCAGGTCAGTGTCAGGTTGTATGTTTAACAAAATATGATTCGCGACCGCAACGAGTATGTGTTTACAGAATTATTATCATTAAGATCACCAATGCAACCCTCCAAGTTCATATAATTCCTTTGAATGAGTTTTTCTGGAAATAGCCATACAATAGGATTATACGAACTTAGGGGGTTGTATTGATGATTATAATGATTATAATTCTGTAAATACGTACTCGTTACGGTCGCGAATCATATTTTATTAAACATACAACCTGACACTGACATACAAATTGCAAAAACGTAAGAAAATTTTAATTTCGCGGGCCACCCTGGAGCTTTCACCTTAATACGCGAAGGTTTATATGGAAGAGCGCAGAAAGCTCAAATTTATATATAATAATATATGTTACAAATACATGAAATTAAAAGCATTCATGTTCATAATGCCAATGTCAAACACATAATAGTCTGTGTCGAAACACTGAGTAAAGATTGTAACCAAAAAAAACTTAAAATATTGCTAACAAAGAATTACTATTTAATTTTATGTAATTTCAAATACTTCCTTTTAATTAGTCTGTGGAGTGATGTCAATACAAGCGTTTTTATATATTATAAATTAGATATCTGTGGTTTTATATATTAATATGCAATTGAAAGTGGAATACAGCTTGCTTAAAATACAAACTTACATATTTAATCAATTATAGACGAATTTCGACCAGTGTTAGACTACTAGTATCTTTTAACTCACCTGCGCCTGCAGCTCTTTTGTACGTTGAATCAATCGCGTGAGCATGGGCCTCAAGTCTGCAGCACGAGACTCCGCCGCCGCCCTCCGTTCGGACTCGCGCTCCGCCAGTCTGGACATCTTGGCGCACACAGACAGCTTTTGTTCTAGTTGTGCGGTCAGCACATCCACGTATCTGTTGAGAGTTATATGAATTTATAATAGGCGACAGTAATGGACGCGTTATAAGAGTGTTGCTGTGAACATGAATGTGAAATTTATAGTTGCATTAAAATTTATAGTTGCATTAAACTTTTCTAATGTTTTTTGAATACAAGTCAGCTGCAAGATGTCAGCTGTTTATTGGATATGCTATATCCACTATCCGTAAAAGGCGACTGAGGGAAACTGAAACAGAAGAAGGGCCGCAATATTATCCTAGTAACAACGAAAAAACGAATAAGAAACTGTGGTTGCCAACCCGCCTTTTTGCTAATTGTAATTTTAAGGGCTGATTTACCACGTGCTTAGCGGTGAAGGAAAACATCGTGATGAAACCTACGTCTGTGAAATAAGAAAAAAAATATTTAGAAGAAATGTGAAGTTCGCCAACACGCACTGGGGCAGCGCGGTGGACACTTCATTGCCCTAAAACCCTCTCAGAAATGAGACGAGGCCTGTGCCCAGCAGTGGGACGTATATATGCTGTAACTTTAACTTTTATACCTGGGCGAATGTTTAACATTATGCAAATGCACGATCTCTGGGGCAGTAAGCGAGGCAGTAGCGGCTTGTACGGTGGCCAACATAGCCGACAGGGCGGCCTCGCTTTCGGACGGCAGCTGCTGCATCAAGGAGAACGTCTGGTTCTCCGAAGTGCTCGTCTCGTACAGACGCATCTTGAGGAATGATTCCAGCTGAAAGTGGAAGTATATAAGTTACATGGATTAAACATGACGTTTCAAATTATTTGCAAGCACGCACGCACTCACACACATATACGACTGTTATAGATAAGGAAAAGCGGGGACTCCTGAGACAGTTTTCCTTTTAAACTTACTAGTATATTGTTCTACTATATTGTTTTTTGTAAACTTAAAGATAATAAAGTATTCATTTATTTTATTTACATACGAATGCACGCATGTAAGCCCGTTTGCACGCACGGACGCACGCAAGCACACACGCAGGCATGCATCCCCACGCACGCACATAAGCACTTTAATTGTTAAAAAATTGCGTGATCTCTATTGATCTTAATAATATATCCCCAGCGGCCCCGCTATTCTTGGCTACGGTGGCGACTATGGTAATGGCGGGGTAGGGGGTGCTAAGAATCTCCGGTGGAGGTTCGGTTGCCACCTACGACGACTCGACCTAGCAACTTATAACGCACGCACCCTGAGGACTAACGAGAAGATTCTGGAGCTGGAAGAAGAGATAGACAAGTTGCGCTGGAATATCATAGGATTATCCGAGGTCCGAAGAGAGGGGGAGGACACGGTAATCCTCGAATCCGGCAACTTGTTCTATCACCGGGAGGGTGACCATCTGTCCCAAGGAGGTGTCGGATTTATCGTCCACAATTTCTCGTTAACAACGTTGTAAAGATTGAGAGTGTGTCGATGAGAGTTGCATACCTTATACTCAAAATCACCAAACGGTATTCGCTGAAGGTTATACAAGTTTACGCACAAACTTCGGCACACCCCGATGAGGAGGTGGAGGAAATGTATGGGGATATCTCTAGAGCCATGCATTCCTCCCAAATCCACTATACGGTGTTAATGGGAGACTTCAACGCAAAACTAGGTATAAGAGAAAACGGTGAGCTGAAAGTAGGGAAATTCGAAATAATAATTATTTAATAAATAATAAAAATTATTATGGAATAAAAAATAAAAATTCGGGCAACGGAACCCAAGGAGCCAGCAGCTGGCCGCCTTCATGAAGAAAGAGGGACTCTTTATGATGAACTCTTTCTTCCAGAAGCGGCCCCACAGGAAGTGGATCTGGTCAAGCCCCGACGGTTCAACACAAAATTCGAGTCGAAATTTGGGCGGTGCTGCAGTCCCTTCAGCGGTACCAAGTTGACTGTCGGTATATCAAAGTGCTGAAGTGTTTGTACAGTAGGACTATGATGGCTATCCGAGTACAGAACCAGAGTACGAAACCTATCCAATTGCAGAGGTGTAAGACAGGGTGACGTTATATCCCCGAAACTCTTCACCACTGCATTGGAAGACGTTTTCAAGCTTCTAGACTGGAAAGGATACGGTATTAACATCAATGGCGAGTACATCACTCACCTTCGATTTGCCGACGATATAGTCCTTTTGGCAGAATCGCTGGAGGACCTAAGCACTATGCTCAATGACCTCAATAGTGTTTCCCAACGGATAGGTCTTAAGATGAACATGGACAAAACAAAGATCATGTTTAATGTCCATGTCACACCTATGCCGGTAGTTGTTGAGAGCACTAAGCTCGAAGTTGTTGACGAGTATGTTTACCTGGGACAAATAGTCCGACTAGGTAAGTCCAACTTCGATCGAGATGTCAATCGACGGATTCAACTCGGTTGGGCAGCGTTCGGGAAATTACGGCACATCTTCTCGTCAGGTATACCTCAAAACTTGAAAACGAGACTGTACAACAAGTGCGTGTTGCCAGTGATGACCTATGGAACTAAGACTTGGTCCTTCACTGCTGGCCGTATGAGGAAGCTCAAGGTCGCTCAGCGAGCTATGAAGAGGGCTATGCTCGGAGTTTCTCTGCGTGATAAACTCAGAAATGAGGATATCCGCAGTAGAACCAGAGTGACCGACATAGTCCAACGGATTAGTAAGCTGAAGTGGCAATGGGCCGGCCATGTAGCTCGAAGAACCGACAACCGATGGGGAAGAAAGGTTCTTGAGTGACAGCCTCGCACCGGCAGGCGAAGTGTAGGGCGTCCCCCCACTGGATGGAGTGACGACCTGGTAAGATATGCAGGAAGTCGATGGATGCAGGTGGCTCAGGACCGTGCTTTATGGCATTCCTTAGGGGAGGCCTATGTTCAGCAGTGGACTTGTGAAGGGCTGTAATGATGATGATGATGATATATTACGAATAGTAAATACGACGAAAAAGGTGTATGATTACTTTTTTTTTACCTATTATAAGTCAGTGCTTGACTACAATCCCACCTGGTGGTAAGTGGTGATGCAGCCTTAGATGGTAAATTGCACTGTCTTAGTGAGACAAAAGCCTATTCACACTTGCCTTGAAGACGCCCAAATTGTATTCGGACGGAAAGATAGACGCCGGCAAATTATTCCATTCCTTTGCTGTACGCATTACAAAAGACGAAGCAAACCTTTTGGTTCTAATGCGTAAAAATTACGTAAATAAAATGGGCATAATACCTCGAGCAGCTGTTCAATGAGTTGGTTGCTAGTGACAGGGTTATCGAGCAACGTGAGCGCTTCTCTACCCGTCGCCACTCCACCCCCCACCCCTTGCTCCTCTACCACAATTCCAGACTCTTCTAGAGAAATCGCAGCGACGTCAGCTGATATATCCTGTTGAAAATGTTGAATGTGTTATATATTTAAAAACTTTTCGTTTCGACTCGTTTAACAGTGCAGGAATGTTAAAGAAGTAAACTACTTGTTTCATCTTAAGTCGTAAGTTGACGAAAAGCTTGAAATACAAATTAATATTCAGTTTTAATATTAAATAACTTAAAATTAAGACAGATAACAAACTGATGGTCACACAAAATGTTAAATATGTAATATTAAAACAAACGAAAGAGTATCCAACACAACATTTTGTTCCGTGAGTATAGTAAGAGGCGCCTATCTCTATAACTAGCCAAGTGCGAGTCGGACTCGCGCATGAAGGGTTCCGTACCATCGTAAAACACGTTTCTAGTAGAACTCTCCGTTTAATTTTTTCATTTATTTTTATTAGTTGTTGTTATAGCGGCAACAGAAATACACATTCTGTGAAAATTTCAAGTGTCTACCTATCACGGATAGTAAGATACAGCACGCTGACAGACAGACAGACGGACGGACGGACAGCGGAGGCTTGGTAATAGGGTCCCGTTGGTTAGCCTTCGGGTACGGAACCCTAAAAACCAGATGTGAAATACCCACACGGTGCACACACACATGATTGATAAAAAATCTCTACATGCCCTTATTTTGGGGGGTAGGGGTAAAACCCATTCTTACGTAATAATCTAATTCCAGGTTGGATATCGAATGGTTTTCTTCATTCTATAACGTACTCCTAATTACATATTATGCTAAAAAAATTGTTTATTAAAATTTTAAAATCTTAAATGTTAAATCATTTTTATCCATTTTAAATGTTATAAATAATAATTATAGTACATTCTTCTCGCGTATTAATCTCTTGCGTAAGAAGGAGGGGGGTTCCTTATGTGACCTTACATGGGGGTAAAGGGGGTCAAAAATCGCCAAAACCATCCTTACGTAATTAATGAATGCTCCCTTAATCGTCACGCCTGGGAGATGCATTGACGTCCGCAGTAGCTGACGTCGCTGGTCAGATTATTTAACACCTGGTGCAAACTAGATTGCATTTTTCAAAGTCGCACCTTTAAACAATTAGTTTTGTTTTGTTTTTTTTTTTTATATAAAACCACATTAGGATTTCTCATGAGGAGTTTTACAAACATAAATTGCACATGGACAAACATTCAGACTCAGAATAACTATTTAAAGGTTATACCAACGCATGTACCGAGCGAATTCTAACTCGCGACCTCGCAGCGTCACAGCTGAACGCTTACCCACTGCGCTCGCCTGCGCAATATATTTATATCAAAACTACTCACAACATCTGTTGGTGCCGCATCAATATTTCCCCAATCGATTTCTCCGCTACCGTCACCATCACCGAAGTCAATACCGGCCGAGGCGTCGATTGAACCGAAATCTATCACGTTATCGCCAAAATCAATCTATAAAAAAAACAAAAAAATAAAAAAAATAAAGAAACAAAAAAATTGGGTGACCATATGTTTTACGTTAATACGTGTACGTAACGAAACAACCTCAAAATGGCCGTGCTTCCACTTTAGAATTTATACGTGGTAGAGCCAGAGTGGTGAATAAAAAATGACTTTCAATAATAATCATTCTATTCTATTCATACTACAACTATATTAGTAGTATAGTTATAGCACGAATGGGTCGACTCGACCGGAGAAGGACCACGCTCTCACAGAATACCAGCCTAAAATAACAGCTTAACACTGCTGTGTTTCGTATGTTGAGTAAAGAATCAGAGCTCCTTTTTACTGGAAAAGAGGCGTTCCATCCTAGTCCTCACAGGTGACAACGCATCTGCATTTTGATTTGCAAACGAGGATAGATGTAGATGTCTATGGGTCACAGCAACCACTTACCATCAGGTGGACTGTGTGCTCGTTTGTCACCCTATCCTATAAAAAAAAACTTAAAGCAACAAGCTCAACTATCGATTGGTGTAAATAAATTTTGGATGTAGATGATAGATATGTAGCTGTAACAAACTGTATCCTCCGATTTTGTTTTAAAGTTTTCGGAATTGCTTCCCATTACAGACGTAACGTCAAAATAAATTAAATTATTTTATCAGTCATTACTTCTGAAAAGACATATTTTCTATATCCTTTTACCAAAATGGGTTCAAGAAGCACAGGCTCTACATTGTTCTAGTACTGCTAGACAGCATTGGATTATTTCCTGGAATTTGGAGATGCCAAGTTATCTGGGTTTATGTTAAAAAAAATTGTTTTATGCTAAAGTTGGTTTATGATACAACTATTTGAATTAAATAAGTATTACGTTTAATTGTAACTGGAAATACGCTTAAATTCACATTTGATAATGTTACACTTTTACACTTTTAAGAATTTTTATGTATTTATTTTTACCAAACCGTAATAGGTACTGAAAAATAAAGTAGTAGGTATAGTAGGCATATGATTAGGCTGTACAAAACAGATTTTTTTTTAATCGGTCTTCATTTGCAGCTGCAGCATCAAAAATATTGAGGCAAAGGGTGATTTTCTGGAAAATTTATAAATCAACCTTTATCTTTTCAGGCACTGAACTTGGGTATAGAACTTAATTTTTTTATATGTCTGTATGTATGTATATATGTATTTTTGATAAATCATAATAAAATTAAAATAAAAAAAATTTCCAAAAAAATTTAAAAATATATTTAGGGGTGGGTCACCCTTATCATTTAGGGGCTTGAAAAATAGATGTCGGTTGATTCTCGGACTTACCCCATATGCACACAAAATTTCATACAAATCGGTTCAGCGATTTCGGAGGAGTTTGGTAACAAGCACTGCGATTCGTGAATTTTATATATTAGATATATCTTTATTTATTATAAAAATTACGTGTCACGTTGTTTGTCCGCGATGGAAACTACTGAATTGATTTCAATGAAATTTTGCACACTGTGTGCAGTTTGGTCCAACTTGAGAGATAGGATAGTTTTTATCCCGATAAGTGACCCTCAAAATTTTTAATTACGATTTAAGGATTTTAATAGGACAAAGGATCGTCAGAGAGGGCAGACAACGTCTGCCTGGCCAGCTAGTCTTTTCATCCCATTATTAATAATAACAAAAATAATTACCTGATCACCAGCTGCCTTATCATCAGTTTCTAACTCAATATGAATTGGATCAGGTTCAACACTGAGAGGTGGTTCACCATAGGTCCATTCATAAACGGTTGTATTGCCATGCTCTACCATATATTGCACCAGCGGCAACACTTTCGGTGCATGTTCACCAATTATATACTTTGTAAATGCGGAATATAATTCAACTGCTGGTAATAGTGGTTTAAGAGATTTGCCGATCTGGAAAAAATAATTAAGGATTTTGTAAGAAATGCTATTATTAAATGAATTATGATAGGGAAGAATGACACCACTTTAATTTCATATTTTATTTTATTCCGGCTCTCTATAGCGTTCAGACTGGAACACAATAGTACAAGCACTGCTGTTTGGCAGCAGAAACAGGTAAGAGAAATCTTTTGTGTTTTTTGTTGCTTGTACAAGTTGTATACTGTACAAGTTTATATGAACATGTGGTAAATTAGCAATTGAAATAGCAATTAATAATTACATTGGTGAGGGTGAAAACTGAAATTTTATTGCTTACATACTGTGAAATTTATGGCACCTATGCCCAAATACTCAAACACTACTAAATTTTAAGATGCGGTTAAGTCTCATGCTGTCTTTATCTTTTAAGTCAAACTAACTGTGACACCATGAGACATAACAACATCTTGAAATTGAGTAATGTTTGAGTATTTGGCTATTTGCCCGGGAACTACCACTTCTCTACCTGATGAAGAAAATTACATAACAAGTCTTACATAGGCACCATGGCGCCTGTGTGAGGCAAGTGCTGGTGCTGTGTATGCGCAAACATATGTGTATATACAGTTAATTGGCTTTATAGTATTTAAAATAAAAGATGTTAAAAATTAATTAGTTAAGAACTGGGTAGTAAAATAAAATGTGTTGCCACTAACCCCAACACCACTACGCTAGTAAACGACACACCACAGTAGTGTATATGTGTGTTATTATATGGATCTTTTACATCTTTAATATAATGGATGTCCGTAAAGTGATGCCCAATTCCATTAACCATTTAAGTAGGTATATATAATTAGAACAGTAAGTTATCTATTTTGCACATTACAACTATTAATTCATCAATATTTATTTAATTGTTATTTTCATGTTATAAGCCTATAATATTCTTCTAGTACTTTTTATGGTGTCTATGGCCCATATTAATAAAAGTTACTCAAGTACATACACTTGAGTACAATCTCGAGGTTATGATCTTATTAATAAACATATCTCAAGATGCGGTTTAAGTTTACGATATCAGCTGAGTGCCACACTGATTAATAAACGAAACTCAACTCTCAAGTGTGTGTACTTGACTGCAAGTCACAGAAAGGTATTCCTAAGTACAGCATTTTGAGATACTGTTTTTATGTGTTTATTAATTAGCAACAATCTTGAGATGCTGATATTTTGTGGGCATATCAAATGATTACGCACTTGAGTTTGTCGTTGAGTAACGTTTATTAATACAGGCCTATGTCTGTGTATCAGTCATGTACCAGTATCAAGTATGATATATTCTAACTATAATACAGTCACAACTTAAGTGAGGGCACTCACTGTTGCAGAGTTTTTAGCCTTTAATGTACATGCAATAATAATATTGTGAATTTTACAACTTCAACTACAGTTGTATGAGATTACTTTGTTGTCCTTGTACTACAACTACCTAATATTAAGTGGAACATGGCTGTTTGTAAGAGAAAGCTATTAATTACGCTATACAATTACCTTATCATAAATTTCTGGTAACTCTTTTAGCCTTTCAACTAATTCCTTTTTGATCTTATTTCCTTCAATACCCAATTGTTTGCATAGTGTTGAGAACTCCGATTTGCTTGATGCTTCATTTTTTAAATATTCCATATGCTTTTTTTCACATTCCTGCCAAACAAATTTAAAAGTAAATAAAACTAAGGAAAGTTGCAGCAAATAATACGTCCTATAGGTGACCACAAACATCCTCAATTTTTTTAATTCAATATAATGATATCTATAGTATATTAGCTCCTATTACCATGATGTAGGTAATTTAAGATATAACATATAATTAAGGGGAAACTCAATCCCTAAAGAAATAAATAAATTACTACACTTGTGGTTACACTACACTTATGTTTGTTGTGGTGTTGCAGTGTCCATCAGTAGCATGTAGCTCGAAGGACAAAAAAACATTTTTGATGGCAACCCCATACCAGTACACAAAGTGTATTACGGCCCCCTACTAGAAGGAGTGACAACCTGGTAAGAGATACAAATTAATAGTTGCAGGTGGCTCAGGACCATGCTTTGTGGTATTTCCTATGTTCAGCAGTAGACTTGTGAAGGGCTATAATGATGATGATGTGGTGTCCAGTATAATAACATTTAATTTATTATTAACATAAGAAGATACTAATTTTTAATCTTTTAATATATGAGACTGCAATGAAGGATTTAGAAAGCTGCAAAGAAATATTATAAAAAAACAAAATATTTTAGGCACAACTAAGTAACTACATTCATGAAACTAATGTACCTAGTTATCTTTTAAAGCAATAGTAATATACAAACCAACTGCAGCTGCTCTTCCTTAGCTATCTGTTTTTTCAGACCTGGGATTTCATAGTTAATGTATCTTACAAGCATCTGTGCTGCTTCAGCTAAATATAAATTTTCTTTTTCATAGTTCTTTGCGATATCTTGCCAGTCCTTCATCCGTTGAGAGCCATATCTTCCAAACAAATTCTTTGTATCTGCTTCAGTTTCCTTAAGGATCTCTATGATTTTCAGACAGTGAAAATAGTTAATATAGCTCCCAGTCAATAGTTCTGCAATATCACTATGAACTGGCATATCCTGTATAGCATTATTAATTTTCTCCCTTACTGCTATAACACTTTTCTGCCATTCCTTGTTAACATGCCGACGACTAACAAGCCAGTCTTGTAGCTTACCTATATTAATATCTATGGGTATATTGCTCTCCTAAAATAAATTGTAAAAGAGAATTATTTTATATCACATTCGAAAACACATATTATGTATACATATTTATCACAGACAAGACAAGACATTGAGTACTGCGATCATAGAATTTTATATATATATATATATATATATATACAGTAGACTAGACTGACAATTCAGAACATAAACTGTATCACAGCTGTGACAGATTGTTACAGCACGGGCGGATACCTGACGCGATAAATATGCCACGCAGTTGTATTTTCATTTACGACAGTTACTTTTTGTAGGAATAATAATAAAGTCACATACTTAACTGATATAACCTTCAAATTGAGTTAACAAAGTGCGCACATGAATAATGATAGTGTTAGATTGTCGAAAAGAACGTTTGCAGTTTACAAAAAAAAGAACTGGTCTTCTCGCCCGCTCGCAGTCGACTAAAGGAGTTACAGAGAATTGACCGTAACTTAGTGCCGAATGTATTAAGGCCGCAGAACCCGTCTGGTAGTACTATACATAGAAGTCTTTGACTGCAATCGCCAATTCGCATATCAAGACGGGAAAGACTCTATCAGTCGATTTTTACAGTCTGATAAAGATGCTTATTTAATATGAAACAGAGAATTTCAATTTTATTAACATATATAATAAACACATAATGAAACTCACATCCATCTTTTATACTTATTTAAGGTACAGGTACTTCTGTGAGGTAAGCATCAAATAAAGATTTATCAAAATATCAAATGTAAGAAACTTTCCCATCACAACACTCACTGACGTGTCAACAAAAACTTGTCGTTGTCAAGTTTTTGTAATTTGTCATTGTCAAATGGCATGCAAATGTTTTAGACCATACAGCCTAGTCTGTTTTGTATTTTGTTTACAATATACTGAATGCATCACATTATAAATTTCTTTTTTAACAACAGCCTAACTCAGCTAAAAGTTGATAAAAATAATATGTCAATGCCTGTAAGGGCAAAATAAATATTTTTATCATCTTCAAAACACTTATTACATAGTTGCTGGTTCACATTCGCACACATTTAATACACAAAATCGCATTACTTTAACATATAAATCTATTTCAAACTATTATTTAAACGATAAAACAGGTATAACAATCCGCCGGCGGTGAAGTTCCTGCCTAAACCATAGAACACTTTCACTCCTAGTGGAGATTGTTATTGCTAGTTATAAATTTGCCGAATTTTGACAAATGAATTTATTTATAAATGTAAAAAAATGTTGCTATATTGATATTTTGAATATAGGGTAAAACACCCAGTAGTCAGCCTTTTAGTGAGGACGAAAATTTGATTCAACTGTATTTTAAATATTATACATTATGTATAAAAACAATCATTATTCTCAGAAATGTTGTTTATTAAATTTAATAAAGAAATCAACAAAACATTACATTTATAATAGAATTATATAAAAAATCAACATTAAACAAATTAAGGCACTTTTCACCATTAGTCAGCCTCATTTCTCCACAAGTCAGCCATATCTTACCCTGTAGTCAGCCTCTCACTTACTCTTGCATATTTGGCCTAGAAATTCTATATCATGTATATTTTCAAATATCATCATCATTATCATTACAGCCCTCACAAGTCCACTACTGAACATAGACCTCCCCCAAGGAATATCACAAAGTCACGGTCCCGAACCACCTGCATCCATTGACTTCTCGCATGTCTTACCAGGTCGTCACTCCATCTAGTGGGGGTCGCCCTGCACTTCGCCTACCAGTACGAGGCTGCCTCACGAGAACCTTTCTTCCCCATCGATTGTCAGTTCTTCGAGCTATATGGCCGGCCCATCGCCACTTCAGCTTACTAATTCTTTGGGCTATGACGGTTACTCTGGTTCTACTGCGGATATCCTCGTGTTTAGTCTATCACACAGAAAAACGCCGAGCATAGCCCTCTCCATAGCTCGCTGAGCTACTTTGAACTTCCTCATACAGCCAATAGTGAAGGGACCACGTCTCAGATCCGTCATCACTCGCAACACGCACTGGTTGTACAATCTTATTTTGAGGTTTTGAGGTATGCCTGACGAGAAGATGTGTCGTAATCTCCCGAACGCAGCAGCAGAGTTGAATGTGCCGATTAACCTCTCGGTCGAAGTTGGACTTCGATTTGCCGACGATATAGACCTTATGGCAGACCTAAGCACTATGCAATGACCTCAATAGTGTCTCCTAACGGATAGGCCTTAAGATGAACATGGACGAAACAAAAATCACGTTTAACGTCCATGTCACACCTATGCCGGTAGTTGTTGGGAGCACTAAGCTCGAAGTTGTTGACGAATATGTTTACCTGGAACAAATAGTCCGACTATGTAAGTCCAGTTTTCATATATGTCCCCAGCGAATTCAGTACATTTCAAATGTACCATGCAAGACAACTGTCACATCCAATATTTTTTAAGTCAATAATATCAGTGTCGGTTGTCAATTCCTCTTCACAGTTTTTGCAGCCTTCTTTGTTTATCGTACATATAGTATTAAATTAAAAATAAGATATGTATCGTATTTTTCTTCCTCCTTTTGCTATTTTTGGAATTCAACATCTTTTACGCTTTCCTTTTTTTGTAATTCTGCTTTCTGTTTTTAACTGTCTTCTTCTTTCTTTGTTTTATCTTTAAATCTCTTAATTTTTTTAATCAATAAATCGTTCTTTTTCTCTTGCTTAAGTTCTTCTTTTTGTTTCTGAAATTTTCTCCACTCTTTGGAAGAAACAGCTCCTATTCGTTTCATCCCATTTCTAATCGCCCCCATAAATTGTGTTAATTGCGCATCTTTGTATTGATGCATGGATTTTTGACATGATGAAATTCTAAAACAAATGATTTTCATGCTAAAATTATCGTACATACATTTAACCCTTATTAAAAAGACTTAGGTTACTATTTTATGCAACAGGACTAACGGCAGACTACTGGATTTGTTGAGCCATTGGTCAGCCTCTGACATGCAATTACATTTGTACGCGGCTGACTACTGGTAAAATACACTTTTCTTCTTATAAGAGTTAAACTCAAAGTAATTACCAAAATTGGTACTATTCGTTCCATTAATTTCAACTGTATATAAGAAAATCACGAAGAAACCAGTAGTCAGCCACTTATAGCTGAGTACTGGATCTACCTTAAAAATTCGAAACCCACTAGTCGGCCACCTAAATTACAACATATTGAACGAATAAAATGCATGTAATAGTTAATTTATTTCAAAATAAACATTTTATTGTAACACAGTATAACAAACTACCACAAATTACAGCAAATACACTCATAAACTTATCAAAAACTTGAGCAGGTTTCCTTAAGAAAAAAATTGCAACAGCGACGCATCTAGTCATGTCTTTGGCAGCAGTGCAAATTAACGAGTGTAGCCCGTGAACCTGACATGCTATTGATTCGTAGGTGTGCGTATTAGTTAATAAGGAGACACAGATTCAATTAAACTTTATTTTATCGGTGTAAACAAATATTAACACTATTTATATGGAAATAATGTCTGTAAAGGCTGAGTACTGGTGCGGGGCTAATTACTGGGTACTTTACCCAACCTATAACTATTATTTTAATCCTCTGTGCAACAACACTGAACGCATCGACTTCGACTGATAATAAAAATACGCAAATAAACAAATATACAATCTTCTTATCTTAGTATACAGTTTGAACTTTGCTGATAAGCAAACGTATTTATTGTGAACTAAGAATATAGTAATGTACTACCCATTCATTGTTAATTAAAATGTTGGATTAAGTGATAAGATTAGTAAAGCATTGATAATTTCCTTTATGTGTTTTGCAATGGAAACCAATTCGATTCCAAATCAGTAAGTAAAATTTATGTAGAACACTTATTTCCTCATAATAACAAAGTAGATTACGATTAGAGAACGTTATTTATTTTAAAATGTATTTTTACTGTTTCTTAATATGGCACATATAAATAGAAAAAAGTTAGTTTTGCTTATTTGAGATTTCAAATTACTTACTTTAATCTGAACTTTTTATGTTTATATTTACATTTCAATTAAGTAACGTTAGTACCGCAAGTTCCCACATGTGGTCCACATAATATATTATTCTAAAAGGCAACACTGCAACATCTCTAAAGCTGGCCAAATATATTCGGAATTCCGTTTCGGGATTCCGAATTGGAATTCCAACCGGTCGGCCACATATATTCGGAATTCCGTTTATCCCCTCAAAATTTTGAACGAAAAACTACCGTACGTGTGTGATAGGTCCTTGATTTTATATGAATATGCTACGTTCGGAATTCCGAAACGGAATTGCGAATGTTTGGACGGCCTAAAACTCTAAATGTCAAACACAAACAAAACATATCATATTATGTCAAAAGGTCAAAAGTCATTTTTTACAAAGGTAGATAAGTAATTTTTGTTTTCTGATATTATTTTGTCAGTACGTTTATCTAGGCAAGGTCTAATTTTAATCCAGAGTATATTTTATTCATATACGGGAAGGTTTAATGTGAGAGTAAGTACAAGCATATGTATGAGAGTTTAATCTAATCCATCTGTAGTAAATACTTATCTAATCTGTTATCATGCCCTGTTGTTAATAATTTTATCAATATAGGTTTGTATTGTTTATGAAACAGATGTGTACAATAACCAAAACAAACCTATATTGTAGAATTAACACTATTCTTGATTTAGGACGGATTTTTGATTCCAAATTATTATTTAATGAATATATTGACAATATTATAGATAAAGAGTTGAAAGGGCTTGGCTTTATTTTAAGAATGTCTCCTGACTATAATAAACCTTCAAAATTATTTACTGTGCTTTCATACAGCCACCTAGAATATGCCTCAAATATGGAACCCTGCATAAAATATTTATTCTATGCATATTGAATGAATTCAGAAAAAAAATCTTCACTATCTTCAATTCAAGGCAAGAGTGAATAGGGTTTTTGTTACTCTAAGACAGTGCGATTTAACATCTAAGGAGGCATCACCACTTACCACCAGGTGGGATTGTGGTCAAGCACTGGCTTATAAGTAAAAATAAATAAATTGAGTAAGATGTTTCTACCAGATTGCACTACACATTACCAAAAGTTTTGCTGCTATACGAAAGAAGGTGCATAGTGGATTTATTGCTTCTGTTTAACCTAGCAAATGGCACTACTAGCTGTCCCAAGCTGTTGGAGCAAATACATTTATATATGCATCTAAATGCAACCTGTGCAAACTAAATGTGCTATGGTAAAAATACATAATGTTGACTTATTTAATGACTCAGTAGACAACTGTTGACAAAATATTTACTGTATAATAAGGTTTTCCTTAACTGATGTGTTTTACATATACCGGGTGTCCAGTAAGGGTATCAGGTATTTGACAGTTAAATAAAATGAGAAATACAATTAATTAAATATATCCTTTATTTTTAATTCAAAAACAGTTTCTTGGAAATTTATTTGGCGAATATAACATTATGTAAATGTGTACCCCCACGCTGCTGGCACTCCTCTAACCTTGAATACAGGTTAGTGACGACGCGTTGACAAAGCGAAGTTGGGATTGCTCTCATCTCTGACGTGATGTTCTCCTTCAATTGACTCAGATTCGTTGGGTGGTTATCATATACCTTACTCTTAAGGTATCCCCAAAAAAATAGTCAAGAGGACCAAGATCTGGGGGGCCAATTAATGGTGCCCCTACGCGAGATAACTTTGTTTGGGAACAATTCCTTTACAGCTACTATTGACGCTCCTGCGGTGTGGCATGTGGCTCCATCTTTCTGAAACCATGTTCTTGAATTAAACCCTGGGAAATCTTGTAATGCGGGTGCCAAAAACGTCCTTAACATGTCACAATAACGGTTTGTATTCACCGTAACTGCTCGCCCATGTCTGTCTTCATGGAAAAAAGGGCCGATTATGCCTCTACCAGAAAAGGCGGCCCAAACGATGACCTTCGGACTATGAAGTGGCCGTTGATGTTTTGTTTTAGGGTTTTCCTTTGACCAGTAGCGACAATTCTGTTTATTAACGTGACGGTTAAGGTGGAAATTGGCCTCGTTGCTAAACAGAATATTGTCAAAGCCGTTGAATCGCTCTAGCATTTCAGTAGCAAAATTTAACCGACTTTCATAATCGGAATCCTTCAGTTCTTGGACTAACTGGATTTTGTAGGTTGTGAGATGCAAATCTTTCTTCAAAATTACCTGCAGTGAAGATTTTTTGATGTTTAGTTCTTGTCCTTGTTTGCAAATTGATAGCGACGGATTTTCACTTACTGAAACTCTCACTTCTTCGATTGTTTCTGCATCTCTAACGCTTCGCGGGCGACCTATATTTTGAATTTTAACAGTCGACCCGGTATTCTCGAACATTTTAATCCACTTTCGTATAACATCATCGCTTGGCGCTGTACATATGCGATATTCTCTGCGATATAAATGCTGAGCAGTAACAATGGAATCGTTATTGCGATAATACGCTCGCACGCTAAAAGCGCGATGCGTTCCGGGATACGGCTCCACGAACCGACGCGCGCGACGTTGCCTTCCCCGCGCCCCTGCTACTTCACTTGACGCCGTGAACCAATAAACAAACTCCCACTACTCTTACAGGACACCCAGTATTTATACTTTATACGTGGTAGAACCATGGTGCAGCTATATTACTGGTATATTTGTAGCATGAATGGGTCGGCTCGACCGGAGAAGGACAACGCTCTCACAGAATACCAGCGTAAAATAGCAGCTTAATGCTGCTGTGTTTCATATGGTGAGTGTAGAGAACCGGAGACCCTTTTTACTGGAAAAGAGGCATTCCATCGTAGTCCTCACGGGTGACAACGCATCTGCATTTAGATTCTTTATTGAGCATAGATGCAGATGTCTATGGGCCACAGCAACCACTTACCATCAGGTGGGCTGTGTGCTCGTTTGTCACCCTATCCTATAAAAGAAAAAAAATATGGGCGGTTCATTGAGTCCAGAGCCAAAGCAGCCGCAAGGAAACTTTGTGTCCTTGCAAAGGTGCGGTGCGGTGTTACTTCACGCCGGGGCAGTGTCTTACCTTATATAAAGCGCAAGTCCAGTCATACATGGAGTACTGCTGTCACATATGAGCTGGTGTTGCAAAATGCCACCTGGCAACATTGGACTCATTGGAGAGATGTGCTAAGAGGCTCATTGGTGACCTTGATTTGGTTGAAACCAACCTTGTTTGCCTTGAGCATAGGCACAGAGTAGCCAGTCTCTCGGTATTCTATATGATGCATTTTGGTAACTGTGCGCAGGAATTACACACTTGAATTCCTCCCTCTCCTTTCCACCATCAGACAACCAGGCGGTCGGCGGGTCTTCACCCCTTTGTTGTCGATATTTCACGCATTAGAACCAAAGGTTTACTTTGTCTTTTGTAATGTGTACAGCAAAGGAGTGGAATGATTTGCCGTCGTCATCTTTCCGTCCGAATACAATCTGGGCGTCCTGGGAGTCTTCAAGGCAAGAGTGATTAGGCTTTTTTTACGCTAAGACAGTGCGATTTACCATCTAGAGCTGCCTCACCATATACCACCAGATTGGATTGTGAAAGTTATAAGTAAAAAAAAATGTCCCCAAATAATTTGTATTTCGTAATTGTATCTTTGTTTAGGTTTTTTGAGCAATGTTTCATAGTATTTTATTTATAAGAAACTTTGAACTGGTACACATTATTTATTTAATAATTATAATTATAATTAATAAATTTGTAACTTACTATTCAACTAAAATCATTTAAAAAAAACTGGTGTACAGTTCACATACACTAGAAGTGAAACTTTCAGAAAACAAAGAATTAAACAAATGCAGAGGATCTGGAGCAGTATAATTGTAGGATTTATGTAATTTAATATATAAAAATTAATTTTTGTTTGTTCGTATTGTATGCACTGCCATATCATTTATCAGGTTACGATTGAACTGTGGTGACAACTTATTGCAAAGGTTATAGGCATAGTACAATGAACTTATAGTAGGTGGCATGCATGTTGTTATTACTTAGCTTCCGCTGTCCGTCCGTCTGTCTGTCAGCGAGCTGTATCTCTAGATCCGTGATAGGTAGGTAGGTGATAGGTAAAAAATACATCCTCTTTAATAAGAAGTAACTAAAAATCAAAATGAATATCTATACAAATAAATAAAATTGAAGTGTCTGTTTGTAATGTTAAAATAACAGCTTTTTACTAAATGTATATGAAAGTATATACGGTACTAATAACAAAAAAAAAACAATTTTTTTAATGTTTGTCTGTCTGTTTGTTCCGGGTAATCTCCGAAACCGCTAGACCGATTACGACGGGACTTTCACTGGCAGATTGTTGATGTTATAAGGAGTAACTTAGCCACTCAACCGTCCACGGTGACTACAGTCCCCAAAAACCATTATTGCCTCAACTGTCTAGGCACCAAACGACATCTTTCGGTTTAAACGCGTACAGCGCAAAAGATAGCTGTTATTAATATAGTAAAAAATTATAGGTGGTGCTATATGAAATTTCTCGTCTGTGAAAGTGAATTTTATCTGTATAATAGTAACAAAATATTTAGAAAAAAAAAATTAAAATTAAATTTCGCCATTTTTGTTTGTGGAATGTTAACGTGTATACATGTTAAGTATATAATGTTTACCAAATATAATTGGGTAAACATAATGTTTACCCAATATAATTGGGTAAACATAATGTTTACACAATTATGTTGGCTATATAAGGTGTTATTGATATTGGTGTCATTTTAAAGGGAATATCATGTACTATTATAATATAAAATAATTGTCTCCAGTAAGTATTACACTTTTCTTGTAAAACTCGAAATAAAAAATGAATACGATTTTTTTAAAATTCCTATTTTTAAGCTTTATTTTCAGGCTTTATTTTTAATTTGACTAATTTTCTTTTAACAAAATAAAATTTTGAATTCTTTGAGTCTTTTGAGAATATTTTTTATTTGAATGTAGCTATAGTAGTTTTTCAGTAGCAATCGTTTTTGTTAAGACTGTCTCGCGCGGTCGTAAAAAATAGTGACACATAATTCGCGGACAGTTGAGTGGCTATGATACTTTTATTTTAGAAAAAGAACTAGGGTTCCGCACAAAAAAATTTAAACCTATGAAATAATAGTAAATTCCTCGCGGTCGAAGTCGCGACGGACAGCTTGTCTAGAAATAAAAGACGAATGAACTAGGATACTTTTAATTACCACGAATATAAATTCCATCACTAGTTTCATAAAGTAATTGTTTTCTTGTTAAAAGATTTGTAAGGGCTAATGAAAATTACGAAGGAGGAGTAGAAGAAGTGGATGTCTCTGAAAATGTTCTTGTGGATTCAATGACTACCATGGCTCTGACTCCTGACCTTATTGTGTAAGTTTACTTAATATTTTATCAAAGTAAATATTATAGTGACACTTATAATATATGAATAGTCTCTTACTAATATATTTTAATATATATAATTAATATTTTAGGCATGGTAAAGTCATGCTGCAGCTATATTAGTAGTATAGTTTTAGCACGAATGGGTCGGCTCGACCGGGGAAGGACTACGCTCTCACAGAATACTAGCATAAAATGGCAGCTTGACACTGCAGTGTTTCGTATGGTGAGTGTAGAGAACCGGAGACCTATTTTACTGGAAAAGAGGTATTCCATATTAGTCCACCACGGGTGACTACGCATCTGCGTTTTGATTCTTTATTGAGGATAAATGTAGATGTCTATGGGTCACAGCAACCACTTACCATCAGGTGGGCTGTGTGCTCGTTTGTCACCCTATCCTATAAAAAAAATACACTAAATTTCAGTTTCAGAATATATAATGTTTCATAAAAACGAAAAAAAAAATATTTTGTTTAGAAATGGTGCAGAATCTCTAATTGAATATAAATTGGAAAAGATATTTGCTATCTTTCGTTTGATAAACGACCATAATGGAGGCCCTTTTAACTGGTGATAAGGCATTCTATCTTAGTCCTAAAGGATGACAAAGCATCTACATAATAATTCTTAATTGCATTGTAGGTGCCTATGCTTGATAGAATTAATTTACCATAGGTTAAACTGTGGCGGTGTAAGAATATTCACAACCCCATATTGTTCCGCGGGTGTCGAAGAGGCGTCAGAAGTAAACAAGTGAGGAGATGGGCAGTAGCGTCTTCTTAGTAATGGCTAAAAATAAATAATTGCTATAACTGTGATAGAGCTATGCTGTAGCTATATTAATAGTATAGTTGTAGCATGACTGGGTCGGCTCGACCGGGGAAGGATCACGCTCTCACAGAATACCAGCGTAAATTAGTAGCTTAAAGCTGCTGCGTTTCGTATGATGAATGTAGAGAACCGGAGATCCTTTTTGCTGGGAACGAGGCGTTCCATCTTAGTCCTCACGGGTGACAACGCATCAGCATTTTGATTCGCAAACGAGAATAGACGTAGATGTCTATGGGCCACAGCAACCACTTGCCATCGGGAGGACTGTGTGCTCGTTTGTCACCCTTGTACTACAAAAAAAATTATCCCCCCTATGAGGCAATATATGGGGGAGGCCAATTTTCAGCGGTGGACTTTAGTATGTTCTCACAGTAACAGTATAATTGAATGAAGCCACAACTATATACATATATATTATACACTAAGTATGTAATAAAGACTGTCCATATTTTTGACATTGCTTTTAGGTTTAGTGTTATGATTCTGTTTATGTTATCCTTTTCAGATAATAAATTAAATAAATATTACCTACTAAAAAGAAAAGGAAATTTATTTATTTAATATTAAAGCGTCATCGCCGCGCCACAAGCGAAACGCACCGAAGACTGAATCGCGCTATCGAAGTTCCGAAGTTACCGCGCTATATATACAGAACAGCTCCGAAATAACACACGGAGCATTAGCCACTCCCCGGGCAGAACACCTTGCCCGGCGGTAGATCTCCCCTTTTCTTTCAACCGGCTACAAAATAACTATGTACCATTTCAGATCGGCAGATGGAGCCACTGATGATGATACTAGATTGACACTTGCATATGAAAACTTGTACGAAGTGCCGCGAACGATTGTCGAAAGGTTTTCGGACCATATCCAGTACCTCGACATTAGCCATAATAAAATTACGTGAGTAATGGTGCTTATGACTTTTTTGTGATTTTTATACATATGTACTTACTAATATTATATTAAATCAAACACTTTTTTTATGTGGTTGAGCTGTGTTGCAGTAAATTATTGTTGTAGCACGAATGGGTCGACTCGTTCGCTATCTGCGAACTGTGGGAAACCACGCCCTCCCAGAATACCAAGGTAAAATAGCAGCTTAATGATGCTGTTTTTCGTATGATGAGTGTAGAAAACCTTTTTACTAGAAACAAGGCATTCCATCTTAGTCCTCAGGGGTGACAACACATCTGCATATTCGTTCTTAATTGAAGATAAATGCAGATGTCATGGCCCACAGCATCCACATACCATAAGCTAGACTGCGTGTTTGTTTGTCACCCTTATTCTGTAAAAAAAACCGAAGTTTTAAGCAAAGCCAGTGGATATTGCCAGTTTACAGGTGCACGCCACCACGTCAGTCATGTCAAAGAATGTAGTTTAGTAGAAGTAGTAGGACATCGGCGCCACATGTCAGTCAGGTCACGACCGGACATGACGTTATGTTTTTTTTTTCTCTAAAAACATTACCCCTACACTAGGATTTTCTTCTCGCGGGAGCAGTTTATATACATAGATTTCACAAGGGCAAACATCCAGACCCAGAACAATTATTTGTAGGCCATATAAATACTTGTTACGTGCGCGATTCGAACTTGCGGCCCTTAGCGCTGCAACTCGTTACTAAGCCACTGCGCCACGGAGCCGTCAATGTATTCACATGCATCACAATGTCATATTATGTATTCACATGCATCACGTCACGTCCTTGCGGTGACGCGAATGATCGTCATTTACGGCGTCGTGACGTGACCGATGTGTATATATGGAGCCTAAAATTCTGTAACTTAGATGTGACTTTTATTACTCCCTCTTCTATGCCCTTTGGTAATCTAGAGGGGATTGCCTTTCAGTGGATTTGTAACGAACTGTAATGATAATATAATTTGACATCGAGGTCTTTACCCATGAAATTGCCACATCCTAATCCTAGCTAGTTTGAAATTTAATTTGATTTACTCGTATTGCTGATGACTTATAATTTCAAACCAAAAAAATTTATAATTAAAGCGCTCTTCTTTTTCATCACTCCGTCAAAGTCCACTGCTGAACATGGGCCCCTCCCCCAATGTAGGGAGAAATTGCCTTTATTGTTTCGCTTGGCAGACGGATTGTTTATTGGACAGACATGTTTGCACCTTTGCAGCTGCTTCCCGTCGATGGTCTGGTTTTTTTATTCGTTATAGCGCGATCTATCTGATGCCCTAATTTTCAGACATTTACCATAATGGCCTCATACACAAACCCACCATCACTACACGTTAAATTAAAAGTGTAGTTGTAGTTTTAGACATTAGTTGTCGATTCGTTTTATCGTCGTCTGTAATTTTTCAAATATCAATAAAATCGAAATGAAAAACGCGTTGGAAAAGAATAGAATAAATTTATTCAATACTATACGCAAGTAATTCTTATTAAAAGTTTTTATTTTTTTACTTTTACCACTTTTTTACTTTAACTGTCAAAGTTTCACAACTGTAGAATGAATTGGAATGCCTCGTTTCAAGTAAAAAGGATCTCCGGTTCTCTACACTCACCGTACGTAACATGTCAGCATTTAGCTGCCATTTTGTGCTGGTATTCTATTTTTTCTATTTAAAAAAAAAACGTTACCCCCACACTAGGATTTTCTCCTGTATTGTGTAGGCAGAAATTCAGATTTTCTTAGGCAAGCGTGGTCCTTCCCGGTCGAGCCGACCCATTCGTGCTACAACCACAATATAACTGCAGCACGGCTGTACCAAATATGTTTCAACAGAATATAATATTTTATCATTTATGTTTTAGCAATCTGGATGCTGTTGTGCACTTTAAGCATTTGACATCTTTAATAGCTGACGCCAATCCAATCACAGAGCAATGCGCTATCCCACCATTGCCAAAACTACAATTGCTATGGTAAACTATTTAAATTTAATATTTTAAGTGGCATAAATACTTCAAAATTCATGTCATATTTTACATTTATGTGTTATAATTCTGCTGTCATGCGATTAATTCTTTGACCGGTATTTTAATCAAATTAACCAAACTCCACAATTTTAAATTATGTGTAACATAGTATGCTTAGTTTTGGCGGGAACTTGACCGGCGGCGGATTGCTGTATTATTGTTTAAACAATGGTTTGAAGTAGATTTTGATACATAAATGTGATGCGATTTTGTATATAAAATATCTGTGCACGTGAACTATTAATAGAAACGAGATTGAGATACTATCATCACCTACTGTCTGCTTGCTCAAGCTGCCGTCATAATCTCACAAAACTTCACAATGTCACTCGTCAACATATTGTAAGGAAATTTTTAAACATTATTATAAAGGCCAATTTCATAATATACATAACACTGGCAAAAATATAATAGTACGAACCATTATCAAAGGAAAAAAAAACAGTACATTCTAGAGACACATCATGTGGAGTTTTAGTTTAAAATCTCGATTGTCTGTACCGGTAACAAACTTTTGTTTTGTTGCAAAACATCATTCATTTATATTTATGTAGTCCATCGGCGGCGGCGACCTCTCGCGTCCGGCCCTGGTCGAAACCATGGTCCGGAGCGAGACGGAATGGGATGCCGTCACCACCTTCTGCGAAGCAGTGATGCTAGCGAAGGAGGTGGCGGAGCGGGAGAAGGAGAGAGCAGCAGCTTTCCTTCCCGGCCGCCGCGGGAGACGCCCCGGGCGTCGGGGGCTACGTCGTGGCCCCCGGCCACCGTAGGCACGGGCCTGTGGACGGCGAGCAATGGGTAGCTCGCCGTCCGTCCGTCTAACGACGACAGGCCGTGCCGACGGCGCGTTTTGTTCCACGCGCGCCTCAAAGAGGTGTCAGCAGCGTGAAGGGGCCCGCAAGGGCCGACGCCTGCCGGGGCTGCGGGCTGTTCGAAAGAGATACCGCGGCTCCGGAACGTAAGGGCACTGAAGGAACACGGATGGTTTTTAGTCAGTAAAAGTCTGACACTCCCTTCCGCTCCACCCAGAGCGAAAGGCGTCATTTGATGATTTTCCATCCGCAAAAAAAAAAAGTGCTGAACATAGACTTCTCGCATAGATTGCTTCATAGGGTGGATTTTCGCCGTAGTTGGCACCCTTGGCAGGCGAATTAGCGAACTCAAATTTGTTATTGAGTTGCTATGAGCAAGATGCTGCTAACCATCTCCTGTTTCAGTTTCCCTCTGTCGCCTCTTAAACTCCCACGGGATGCTTTGGGTAGTGGATTCTATTATCCGCCACTACAAGGTATAATAACGTCATATAGTTTTGGCGCGTTTGAGGATCGATCCCTGGCTACTTGCATAGTGTGAAGTTAGGAAGTAATCACAGTATTATTTTAATAAAAAAAGATGTTTGGCCATAATTCAGTTGGTGTAAACAACAACGAAACAAAAATATTGTTAACACTTATTTAATAAGCAAAAAATATAAAAGAACTCATTTTAATTTTTTTCAATACATGTTTGTAATTGACTAGTATAGTTCTAAAGGCTTGTGCACCTGACTTATCTCCCGTGCTGACACGCTTGTTCCGCCTCTCATTTAGAACTGGAATAGTGCCAACATCCTAGAAGTTGGCCAATGTGCAGCCTGTTACAAAAAAGGCCGCCGTGCCGACCCTCCCAATTGTCGTCCAATCTCAATTGGTCCAATTCAAACTGGTCCACTAGCTTTATTCACGTCTAGACACTGCAAGGTTTTAAGAACCTCCTTATTTGTGATACGGTCCTCAGACATAGAGGTCAGTGAGGTAATTTAGGTGTAACGTTGTTGCCACTGTCCAGACAAGAAATTACAATTATTAAAAAACTTTTTCCGCTTTCTTTTTAGGTTAAACCACTGCAAAATTTCATCACTTTACCCCTGGGCGGGCAAATTAAAAGAGTCATGCCCTAACTTGGTGCATATAAGTCTGATGGGCAACCCTGCTGCACCGAGTTACTTCAATGGTGGCACTTTCTATGAATATCTTCAATATCGGTATGTTTACTTCATTTTTATATATAATGAACGTCTTTATTCCAACGAAAAAAAAAAGTATTTCTTTTTTCTTTAATCTATATAAAATATCAATTATACAAATAAAATATTAATAACCAATCACCACTCTATAATTCATATTATTTACTAGCTGTTTCCCGCGAATTCGCCCGCGTGTAATTTAGGGTTTTAATTTATTTTTTGCGCGGAATCATAATTATTTTTCTAAAGTTAAAGTAGCCTAAGTCACTCCTTATAACATCAGCTATCTGCCAGTGAAAGTCCCATCGAAATCGGTCCAGTTATTTCGTAAATTAGCCGGAATAAACCGACAGACAGACAGACAAAAATTTTAAGAATTGCGTTTTTGTTATATGTACCCATAGATTACCCCCTAATAGATACCGCATCATTGAATATTTGTTCTGTTTTAAGTTCTCCAAATGTGGCAGTATGCAAGGGTTGCGGGGGACGTGTCAAATGCGCTGTGATTGGACATTTACAGGTCATACTTAGAATACACCAAACCATAGTGATGGAACTGGATGGGGACGTGGGGATTTATTGATCATTGTTAAATAAATATATTGATCAATATTTATTTGATGTATATTAAAAAATAAAACAATATATACATATATTTGTACATTTAATTTATAAATATATATTTGACTGATTTTTAAAATGGATAAGCTTATTATAAAATTGTCTCACAGAATTATTAGGATCTGTCTTCCTGGATAAGTAGAGTAATCTTATGTCTATGTATTTTGCCATGACACTCTTAGCTAAACCAATGACATAATTACAACTTCCGTGATCGAATTGGTGATTTTAGGATAAATATCCTCATTAACAAAACTGCTCAATGTTTGTGTTACAAAACTTGGACGACCATCTACAGATCTGTACCACTTTCCTAGTGTTTTTTACAGAGGATAAACAAGTATTAAATGTTTTGCGTACATAATTATAAGCCTCAGTTGAGTAATAATTTATGATGAGTGTAAAATCTCTCAACTGTAGTGAATATTTTTTTCTAACAATTTTGCCTGTTTTTCCTTTCAATATTTGACGACGCATAATTTCACCACATTTGACTCATAAGAAACTTAATACGTCATTGTTTTCGGCTGTTAATAAATTTCTGGTTCCTAATTCTACCAATAATGACTTCAAAGAAACTTTTTGTCTGTTTAGTCTTCTGTTGGAATCACGTACCTTTTTAATTTTTTTTATCTTTTCTGTTCATTACGTTGGTTAATTGGATGATTCTTCTATAAAGATGTTTTTAATTGGAGTATCAAATGCAGATGGCGTATCAGGTATAGGAGAAAATTTTCTTTTTTGTTTTGTAGGCGTTTCTAAGCAATGGCTCTGCTTTTTAGGTGTTGGCGAGTTTTTTGCGTCTTCCAACGGTGAACCAGTAATCTGAAATACGTATTCGTTTATTTTAAAATATTATCAATAATTATTAAGGTACTTATAAATACGTTTATTATTCATTTATACAAATTATAATCATTTAATTAATTCTTATTATAATCATACCAATTTTTTCAACGATGTGCCGGCCACAGGATTTCCCGTACTTTTAGCTGCAATATCTGCACTTGCACCTATAGTAGGGACGGGTGCCTAGAAGTAGTATTTTAAATTAATACACCATACGGCACGTCTTCCAAATTTAGATGTACTTAATAATAATAGTAAGATATTACTGAAGTTCATGTAACACTATAATACCAAGTCAAAACAATAATCTCATTATAACTTTTACATGTTTTATGATTTGTAAATCCGTTAAAAATAGTTTGATTTCCACATGTAACATTTACCTTAATATTAGAATATCATGTTTCACTCAACCACTTAATGATATTATTGTGTTATCTACATTGGTACTAATATTTAAAAAAATGTAAAAGTCCATACCAAAACTGGCAAGTATGGAGATGGTATAGCGGAATCCAATAGCTTTATATGGTTTTTTATAATATGAAGATTATCGTCTGTGATGTGTCTTGAGCATAGCACACTATTTTTGGTGGGAAACCATTCGTTCCCTCGACAAGTTGTGTCGATCCACATCTTTTTCCTTTTGGGGCATTTAGGAAACCTATAAGATATATGTGGATACCACAATTATACGTTATTATTTTTATAAAATAATATGACTTCAAAAAAAAATAATTAAACGATGACCAAACAAATATCGATTTAAAAATCACAACACTATGGATACACGTGCTGTTGTTAAACAAAGACAACTTGTTCTATTGTACTAGTTTACGTAACGAGTGAGAGGGACATTTCAAAAAGACATCAACGGGTGCGTAATTGTTATCACTTTTCACCATTAAACTACCAGTATAAGTTAATCTCCGGTGCATTTGAAATAGCTTAACGTGATAAGAATAGAATTTACTTACCGATGAAATGTTATGCCATCTTTTTGATAACTAGATATCTTAGCTGACTTGCCACATCATTTCACTGCACAAGAAGCCATTTGTAATGTATTTTGGATACAAAACTATTTTTAAATAGTCAAGAACTCGAACGTGCCTGTGGGTCATAAACTTGGTCGACACTGATGTCGTGATTCTTAGCGTCACTTCGTATGCTAGCTACAACAAGTATGTGTTGCGCGCGGTTGTGGCCCTGTATGCGGAATCTATTAGGAGGTGATCTATGTATGTACCGTATGTTATTTTGACAGCTGTTATTTTGACATTACAAATAGGCACTTCAATTTTATTTATTTGTATAGATTATACAGTTTATAAACAATCTTTGTTTAATAAAGTTTTTGAACCTGACGGTAGATATATATATTCATATTTATTAAAATCACTATATATATATAACACTGAGTGTAGTGATTTTTGTCTGCCGACTTCCAAAAAGAAGACGGTACTCAATTCGACTGTATGTTTTTTTTTATGTATGTTACCTCATAACATTGTACTGGGTGATTTCGATGATTCTTTTTTTATATGAAAGCTGATAGTTCTCGTGTGGTCCCATATGAATTTGATCAAGGTCAGACCAATGGTTATTGAGTTATTCTTAAATAACTTATATTGAAGTCGGCTGTACAAAATTTTAAATTTTAAATTATATATAATAATGGTGACAAGCGAGCACACAGTCCACCTGATGATAAGTGGTTGCTGTGGCCCATAGATATCTACATCTATCCTCGTTTGCGAATCAAAACGCAGATGCGTTGTCAGCCGTGAGGACTAAGATGCCTCTTTTCAAATAAAAAGGGTCTCCGGTTCTCTACACTCACCATACGAAACACAGCAGCCTTAAGCTGCTATTATACGCTAGTAATTTATTTATAATAAATAGCACATACTAAATATCACATATTTATAATAAAAAATATTTCAGGTTATTTGTAATTTCTAAATTTCCTTCACTAAACCACTTGGACGATCGGCGAGTGACGGAAGACGAGAAAGCTGAGGCAAACCGCCTGTACAGGAGGCCGCTGGTGGAAAGAATAGTGGACCCAGGGTCGGGGGGCCTGTCGCAGTTGATTCATGGCTCTGTGTCTTGGAACGCCTTCCAGAAGAAGATGAATTCGCTGTGGACGCGAGAGAAGCAGGGGCCTAGGAATCTGTTGATATAATTTTTTAATAAAGGTGCAATATTTAGAAGATACCCCCGTGACGTTTAGTCCATACCCACCTATTCCTATATTTCTTTCGGGATAAAAGCACTAGAGGATTATCTTTCTGATACATTTTAAGTCCATTGTACAAAATATTTAATTTTATCACTTGTCCTATCACCTATTCCTGCTGCCAAATAACAATGCCTGCACTGTTGTGTTCCAGCCTGGAGGGTGATGAGGGCCAGTATAATTGAGGCTGTGAGGCATTCCATACTTCAGAGGTGACAACGCATCTATAACTTTCTTTGTCTGGGGGCGTTCAAGTATTACGTAACGCAATTTTTGAAGATTTTTGAATTTCTTTACGAAAGTTACTTAACACTCAACTGATCATTTTTACCCAAAAGTCACAATTATGTTGCGCATAGTACCGCTAAAATACCTCTGTTATTGTTTTAATCTCGTGTGTGGTAATAATAAATAAAACAGATTTCTAACTCGCAATACATGCGTATATTGTTCATTTAATTTATTCATATTGTCATTTAATAAACAATTACACATAATGAACGAAAAAAAAAAACTACAACGATGTGCTTCTGCGTAAGTAAACACAAACGAATATTGACAAGTGACAACAAAAACAAAATAAAATTGACGTACAATACAGTCGAGGGATTCTCCGCAAAACATTCACGAAAAGGGTTGCCAACGTGGGAGATTTTAATTCCCCAGTTTTTTTAAATATAAATAAAAAACAATGTACGTAACGCGTTGTTCGAACCCCCCTTCCGCCCCTGTAAGGCATTCGAACCCCCCTTCCGCCCCTGTAAAGCATCGTAACGTTTTACAAGATCCCCCTTCCCCCAAATTGCGTTACGTAATACTTGAACGCCGCATTTGCTGCAGGTGACCATGGGTTACACTAGCCACATACCATCAGGTGGACAGGTGAACTGCACTGGCCAGGGGTAGAGACAAGTATAAAAAACAATTTTTGGCTGCAGCGGGTCCGGGGCTGCTTTCCGTGCTACACCACTGACTTTATCCAGCAGTGATATGATTACTTACTGATGATGATATGTTACCAGAAAATATTAGAGTGTAATAGTTTAGCATAATATTATTATAGTCTTAAGTACTAGATTACCGTATCTTAATGGCTTTATCATGGCTAAACCGTAACAGCTAGAATGTCATATTAAAAAACAAAAATTTCCAGCAATATTTCTTAATAACAACTATCGTCACGTTTTGCATAACATACTCACTATTTATAAATAAATGCACAGATTACTTAAAATGCAGAGCGTGTCTTATCTCCTTTCAATATCTACATAGTTATGCCAATACAGGTTACCTAAGTAAAACAATGATTATCAATATGTCACAAATGTGTAATGTAAATATTAGTTAATGGAGTGATGTAATCGCTGACAATAATTAAAATGTGGGTTGTAATGTTCGACAATAATTGTATTTAATAAAACACATACTTCTCATATTTTGGTTTTATTTAACAAAACAGAAACAGTTTTAAAATCTAATAATTAATTAATACAACGAACAAAAACTTAACTATCTTATTTATCCTAGTCCTTGATAGGGTAGTGCAGTGAGTAAGCGTTAGAATGCGGTACTGCAGGACCACAGGTTTGAATGCTGCACGGAACAAAAATTGTGCAAAAGTTTAAGCTCTGGATGTTTGTCCTTGTGCAATTTATGTATGTCAAACGCCTTCACGATATAGGACAAAGTCCTAGTGAGGGTACTGGCATAAATTGGTGAGAAAAAACCTTTTTATACAGTACCAGCTGGTACCGGGAGCGTTACTGCCGCAGAAGTAATAATTGTGGAAATATCGTTTTAAATTTAGAAGAGTTATATTGTTTAATTGGGAATGACTATACAATCATTGCAATTGAATTATATATTACTAGCTGTTCCCCGCGGCTTCACCCGCGTGATATATGGATTTCATGGGTTTTAAATTTTTTGCGCGGAACCCTCATTCTTTTTTCTAAAACAAAAGTAGGTAGTCTAAGTTATTACTTATATCATCAGCTATCTGCCAATGAAAGTCCCGTCAAAATCGGTCCAACCGTTTCGGAGATTAGCCGGAACAAACAGACAGACAGACAGACAAAAATTTTATAAATTGTGTTTTTATTATTAGTACAGTATATACTTTCATATTATATTTTCATATGCATTTAGTAAAAAGCTGTTATTTTAACATTACAAACAGACACTTCAGTTTTATTTGTATAGATTACTTATTAAATATGTTTATCGGTACGATACGCGCGTCACCTTCTGTAAGTTAATTGTACTATGGCTATAACCTTCGCGCAAGTGCAAGCAATAAATTAAGGCGACACCGCGAAAAAATGCACCTCCTTTCATCGAATACTATAGGAGTATGTATTACTTAATCTATATGCTTGGAAACCGCTCGAATACATTCATAACGTCAATATTCGTAATTTACTTGCTCATTATTTTGATTGCTAAAATCAATAATTTTTTACAAATATTTTAAGATTTTGAATCGACGCGGGCGCTACGCAATTTTAGACCTTATGACCGCCTTTTTGAAGTTTTTATAAAAATTATGTTTCAGTCGGGTCCGTCCGGTGATAGCCCGCTTCAACGATTTTAGCATTCTAATGAACAGTATGCCCGCCCATAAAATACGAACAAACAAGCATTAATTTTATAATTTAGAAGAAGATATATTGTCATAGTTTCAGGAATAAAAGTCAATGTTAATAATCTCTGCCTTAAAGCTAATTATTATAACTTAACACTTTCACTGTCCGGTTTTGAGACACAATAGTAAGACAATAGCAATGACCTATATGTAGTGCACGGGACAGCGAAAGGGTTAAGGTATTCGGTACATGGACAACTATTTTGAACGTACATATAAATGAATTAAAACTTAATTGACGACACGATTGCTGTGTATAATGACGACGGAAGAGAATTCATCATCCTATTTCATCGCATGGGTTTGTGGTGATTATGACTTGGTATGTGATGATATTTCGTTCAACAGGAGAGGCCCTAGTCCAACAGTGAAAAGCTACCGGCTGATAAAGAATAAAAAAGAAAACAATAAATAGAGTCGCTATTTAAATTTCCTAAACTAAATTCTTAAATATATTTTAAATATTATACTTATTGCTAAAATTACTACAAACCACTGACCACTATCATCTTGTCGGTGTCGTAAGAGGCGACAGAGAGAAAAGAAACAGGCGATAAGCAACATAAAAAAAATTGCGGTTGCCACCTGCCAAGCGTGGCAACTATGGCAATTATCTCTCCTTCGATGCAATCTACGGGAGAGGCCTATGTTCTGCAGCAGACTTTTGATTGGTTGCTAATGATTGAATGAATGTATGATAGCTAGAAATCAATGTGTATAATTATTGTTATTTCTTTAAATACTCGCTATCCCCGCACGGGTAATTTCTGGATCTCGACAACAGTTCCACATAAGGGGTCGAAATGTGAATGTAAACCATCCAGGGACCCACTCAAACGCATAAAAAATTTCATTAAAATCATTGAGGGTTATGTACTACGTACTAGAGAAGCCATTCCAAACAAAAATTGTGTCCTACTCTATGTCTTCGCGCATGCGCGGGGTTAGTAGTCGCGCATGCTCGACGACTTTAATTTGATATAAAATAAGATATTAATATAAAATAAATATAAGAATTTAATATAAAATATCTTAATTTAATCTAAACAAACATATTTCTAAATAAAATGTAATAATTATTATTTTATGGAATTCACGAATCTTCAATTTACGCAATATTTAGTTTGTATGGACTGCACTACAGTTCAGTTGAACATAGTCAATGTTCGGAATGGCTTCTCTAGTACGTAGTACATATAACTCAATGATTAAAATCAGTTCAGCCATTTTCGAGTCTTAGCGAGACTAACGGACGGCAGTTGATTTTTATAAAAAGAGATTAGCTTTCATCCATCATCTTGTCCGCGTAGAGTTTAAACAAAAAGAAACTTGTGTTTCACATCTCCAATTAAGATTCCTACATGTTATATTGCATTGAGAGTATAATAGCAGGTACATACTACACAATAATATTATATTGATATTAATATTTTGTATGATCATTAAAAACATTAAGCACGCTACGTGACGTGTTAAATAGGTGTGTTATTTAAGGCAAAGAATATATTATATTATTACTAAGTTTTAAGTGATTAGTTATAAGTATAGATAAAGTAAACATTAGTCGGATTTCATCACGTTGCGCGATTTCATAAACATGACGTCTACTTTCTTGATTTTTTAAATAATTAATTAACAATTATATATCTATGTTCTGTACAAACAAATGGACGATATTATTTATTTCGAATGCGAGGATCATTAATTATTTCTTTATGAAATATAAAATAAAAATTTTCCTTAAATTTAACCATAATTAATATATGCCCTTTAAAGGACAAATTTAACTCGGAACGGCACAGAGTACTTATAGTAAGTGTAGCTCTAATATTAACTTAATATTTGAAACGTTTCCTTTATACAATCAGACTTTCAAACAATCACAAATTATTTATATAACTGTGCTTCAAATAGTTTAAATAAAATTAACTTTTTAATCAATCATATAACTCAAGAATCGGTCGTTTCCATGCAGTTAAATCCACGAAAGGTATCGCGTCGTAGTCATAACAGTTGTATTTCGGGTTGTGAGCCGATTCCATCTCGAAAGCCTTTCTCTGAATGTACTTGATTCCGTCAGTGTTGTCACAGATCAGTCGTGCCATAGACGCTTTCTTTATCTCTTTTAGCTGATCTGTGGAAGATAACAGATGATTAATAATTTTGGCGCGAATTAATGCAAACGGATTCTTCATTTAGCTCGGTTTTTTTTTCAATTTTTTACAATTCGTCGGAATCTGTTATTTTTTATGTATGTACACTCGAAGACGCCTGAACCGATTTGGAAAATTCTTTTTTGTTTTTATAGAATGAGGGTGATAAACGAGCACACAGTCCACCTGATGGTAAGTGGTTTGCTGTGGCCCATAGACATCTACATCTATCTTCGTTTGCGAATTAAAATGCAGATGCGTTGTCAGCCGTGAGGACTAAGATAGAATGACTCTTTTCCAGTAAAAAGGGTCACCGGTTCTCTACACTCAATATGCGAAACACAGCAGCATCAAGCTGGTATTCTGTGAGAGCGTCCTGCGACGGTCGAGCCGACCCTTTCGAGCTACAACTATACTATTAATATAGCTGCAGAATGGCTCTACCACGTATAAAAAAACTTTAACAAATCAACAATAAATTATATTTATATTGAAGTCGATTGTACAAAATGTTTAATTTTACCACGTGTTATAAGTAAGTAAAGGTGACATTACTTGGGAGTGGGCAACGTTCACCAGTAGACTTGTGTTGGACTGATGATGAAGGTTGACAAACGATCACATAGTTCACATACATCTATCATCGATTATAAATCAAGATGCAGATGCATTTTAATTTATAATAGATAATAGATGAGGACTAAGATAGAATGCTTTATTTCCTGTAAAAAGGGTCTCCGGTTCTCTACACTCACCGTATGAAACATTATGCTGGTATGCTGGTATTCTGAGAAATAAAACGTTATATGTCACTCAAGCACCCCAAGTGGAGTTATAGAGTAAAGGGAGATGCGATAACTATCGGATAACATAAAACCACCCACAATATAATAATTAAAAATTTTGTACAGCCGACTTCAATATAAGTTATTAAGAATAACTAAAAAACTATTGGTTTGACCTAGATCAAATTCATATGGGACCACACGAGAAGTACCAGCTTTCAAATAAAAAAAGAATCATCGAAATCGGTTCACCCAGTAAAAAGTTATGAGGTAACACACATAAAAAAAAACATAACGTCGAATTGAGTACCGTCTCCTTTTTGGAAGTCGGCAGAAAAGAAACAAGACTCTATGTTGCTACACCAGTAGAGCACCCCAATATAGTTCTGGGTTCAAAGCAGATGTGGTGGCAATTGGGTGACAAACCACCCACAATAAAAGTCACGAAACAATGTGTGGTACTCCAGCATCGCAAGCATCGCAGCATCTCTCTTAAACCTTGAATTCTCAAGGTTTAAGAGAGACTTTATGGCTATTAGGTTTCAGAAACCTGGCTCTAGCGAAAGTTCATAATATGATCATTCATTACTTAATGTTTTTGTTAAACTTGCCTGGCGTGAAGGAATGTGGCATTTCCCCGTGGTCGTAGAAAAATCTATCGCCGATCCGCGTCCGGTAGAACTGTTCGGCCACTATGCACTGGAATGTCTTGCCGAGGATAGAACCTTGAACAGTTTTCTCCATCGTCCCGCCGACGAACAAATCTATATCGTCAACGCACTCGTAGATTTGTGAGAGTGCGTTTATGCGCTGAGAAAAGTATTTATTAATATATAATAATACAACACAA